TTTCCCCCCCCCCCCCCAAAAAGAAATTTGTTTTTGGCAGGGGGTCCCGCGAGGCCCATAGGCTCTGTGCCTGCGCCTGTCACAAGCCTGAACGAGCAGGCGGTTTTAAGTCTTCTGCAATAGTCAGAACAGAAGTAGGACCTCAGCACGCTACTGTGACTGTGGAAACGAAAAAGGTACAACCAGTGCATCTTGCAGAGAAAGGGGCAAGACGCATCCAGTACAATTTATAGCAACGGATGCATTCTTACCACTTCTTCAGGAAGATGCACTGGTGATTTCTTTCGTTTCGACAGTCGTGTGGCGAGGCCCTTTATCCTCGCCATCAGAAATGGTCGTTCCACGGCCGTTACAAGTCTGATACCTTCTGTGCCCCGAATACAACGTACGGTCATTATATTTATATCTGTATTTCAGGCATCGTTCAGTCTATAGATACAGCTATAATGAACGGACGTTGTCTTCGGGGGAAGAAGGTTGGAACCCCGTAGTTTTTTTTCTCCTGTTTTTCTTTGGTGGTTCGTTTTCTCGTTTTTATTTGGTGGATTAGGCGCACACGCATGAAGGACTTTTTTTTTTTTCTTTTTCTTTCTCCATTCTATTTGTTGGGAGTAGCACATACTGGGAACCGGGCCCAGCGTCCCTTATACACCAAATTAAGGTATGGCGCCGGGGTCCCCACAGTCTGTCCAGAAAACACGAAACATGAAGGACTTTTCGGTTTGCACGGGCAACAAAGAGAACGCACGTGCACCATGCATGCGTCCGACCATGCACGGGGGACTTTCGACGCACTCTAATACACAAGAGTGCACGCTGTTCTGTCCACATCCATGCACAAGAAGAAAAAAAAAAAAAAAAAAAACGCACGGCCGTCTGCCACGTGCCCATGCACTTGGCATTGTGTATGTACCCACCTCATCCAAAAGAACATCCACGGAATTGGGAAGTGATGGAGGAGGTCAGGTACATGTAACAGAGCGCTCACCTGAAGGACGTGGCTTTCTCTCTCTCTCTCTCGCGCGCTCGCGCGCGTGCCTCACACGAGCACTTCGCTGCATGTACCCGACCACTATCGCGTCCGGATTCCATCCAAAAGAGCCGTCCGTTTTTTGTCGGAATCTGGACGAGATGAGGTTGGCTGTATGAAGCGAAGTGCGCAGTCCGAACGTCCGTGACGAAGAGAGAGACAGATCTCTCTCTCTCTCTCTCTCTCTCTCTCTCTCTCTCTCTCTCTCTCTCTCTCTCTCTCTCTCTCTCTCTCTCTCGCTCGCTCGCTCGCTC